GTAACCGATGCCATTATTATGCTTTGCAACAATAAGGTTGTGAAGGTCTTGAGAGAGCTCTTTACTTTTACCCATCATCAGATGKTTCTTGTGTGATACCTGGCCATCATCTGGGTCTGAAACAGCTGATATTAACTTGCACTGACAAGGGGCAGGCTTGCTTTCTAATTACGGAGAGAGTTCAGCTGGTGTCTTGGCTTCCATCCATCCATCCATTTTCTATACACGCTTCTTCCTTTTCAGGGTTGCGTGGGTCACTGGTGCCCATTTCCAGCAGTCACAGTGCGAGGGGCAGGGTACACCCTGGACAGGTCGCAAGTCCATCACAGGGCCCTTGGCTTTCCGTGCCTTTTTACACCTCCCTTTCTTCATGTGTTCAATACTTTTTCCCTGTGCCATTCCACATTATTACAAAGAACTTCATTTCTGGACATTTATGGTTTGATTTCTTTGTGGGTTGTTACCGACATCTGGTGAAAATTTCATGTCATTAGCACCTCTAGTAATATATTTACTGAGAAAAATGTTGACGTGTTCAATACTTATTTACCCGCTGTAGCTGAACTAAAAGCCAGGGTGGCAGTCCTACCACTGCGATGGATGGGTCCAGTTCACAGATCTGCATGCGGCAGGGTGGGTGCTGACAGTGGTACGTCTCATCTGGGACCTGGCTGTCTTCACATGGCTCCACTGCAGGCTGGGTTGTGTGTGGGTCTAAATAGATCAGCTCCTCTCCTGGGAGGACAGGGACGTGTTCAGGACAAAAGCTATGATCGTTGTCACAGCTGAGCTTTTATAACAAAAACATGAAACAAGACATACCAACATAACCAATGAAGTAATGGGCACTGTTAGGTTTGCCCCCAATGACCCCCAGGGACTGTGGCAGCATGAAGCATTGCTGCGGAAAGAAATGAGAAGATTTATCTCCTCCCAGATTGTGAGCGAGTTCTGCTTTGTAGTTCTTGAAGCAAAATTACCAAAATCTGTAAGCTGACATCACATCTGTAAAATCTTTATTGTGCCTTAATATACTTCAGATAAAAAGTCAGTAAATCAGTGTTTGGTAGATTGTTTCTTTGTTGTAAAAATGCTTCTTGATAATAAATCTTATACGCAGTGGTGGGCAACACTGATCTAAATATTCAATTCAAAAATACTTTATTGATCCCAGAGAGAAATTAGGTGTTGTTGTAACTCATTTAACTATCACACTTTTATGATTTTATTATCTGCAGTAACCCTAAAGCACTAACTCAAATATTTATGTCCCCTAATTCTAAAGCACTAACACACTGAAAAATAGCAAAAGCTAATTCTAAAGCACTAAAATACCAAGTTTACACATGGAACAATCTTCAGAGTCAACACGAGACAATATTTACTGTGTGCAGAATGTTGTCACTTGGTGCCCTTGGTGGGCCAAAGGGAGTCACCCGCAGGCCACATTTGGCCCGCAGGTCTTGAGTTTGACACGTGACCTTGTAGATAAGTGACACACACATGAACAAAATGTGTGACAGCTTTCACCCTCAACTATGAACAATAATGTTGATCAATAACATTTAAAGACCTCAGTTAGTGCTTCTAAATTTAGCTAGTGCTAACCCACAAATGAATTTAAAAAATAGCAAAAGCACTAAAGCTCTAATCAGGAAATTAGTTCCCCTGTTAAGAGTTTTAGGGGAACTGTGCCCACCACTGCTTATACAGTTGGAAAGTCTGTTAATGTCTCTTTTAAATGGTGCCAATTTGTAAGGAACATGCATTTGTGGGATGAGCAGTAGAGCTGAGTATGTGGGTTGTGCACATGAAAAATTTGTCAAATCTTCTCTGACAGTTTATTTTACTGTTGTTATTGACTCTTGTTTTGAGCTTCTGGTAGCTCCAGGTGCTGCCATAAGATTTCCTGTTTTAACAAAGAATAATCTACCAAACACTAATTTACTGACTTTCAGTACAGTTGAATTCATTTTCAACAGGCAGATTCCATGCAAGCATTTGTGTGTTTAACAAGAAAGATTAAAACAGGTGGTGTAAAATGGCATGGGTTTTCTTTCAGATCTGACATCGTGTACAACAAATAGTTAAATAAAACAAAATATCACAAACTAACATTACTAAATAAAATAAAACTACTGTATTTTTCATGTATAATACCATCTTGAGTAGAATACAATCCTCATTGTTTGTTTTAGCTTAAACAGCATAAAAAATATATAATTCTCCTGTATATTGGTATTAGGCCTGTCACGATAACAAATTTTGCTGGGCGATTAATTGTCTCAAAAATGATTGCGATAAGCGATAATATTGCCTGGTGACCATTTTACAACTAATAATTATAAAAGCGTAATATGTAAGTGTAATAAATGAATAAACTTTAACTTTTAAAAGCATGTTTAACAAAGTGGACTCTCAGTCTCTAACAAAAAATGCACTTGAATAAAAAAAAACAAAGAAAAACAAAATGTAAATTTAAACACCACACACAACTAAGACAGTAAATAAACAATATTAAAGAGCAGCATCTCTTTAGAGATGAAGCAAACTACACAGCCTGGTGAGGACCCACTGTTTCTTATGGGGACATAAGCCCAGTTCAAATCCTATGTTAAGTTTAGGCTAGGTTTAGGGTCAAATGGTAATAGAAAATACTTTTAAATGAATGAAAGTCAATGCAAAGTCCCCATGAGGATAGAAGAACAAACGTGTCTATGTGTGTGTGTGTGTGTGAGGAGCGGACAGTCAGAGGAGACACGCAGAGCGCTGCGTGGGAGGAAATCAGACAGTTCAGAGTTTTCCTCATGAGTTGCTGGGACAGCTACAGGTTTTTTGGGTGTTTAGTTAAAACACAGATGGTGCGTTTTAAGTTTCCTGGTATTTTTGGGAGCTACAGGTAAAGTCTTGACGAGTTTGTCGCAGGTCTGGGGGAGTTTCAGCCCCCAACCCCTTCTCCTCGTCTCTCTCTCTCTCTCTCTGTGTGTGTCTCCCCGCAGCGAAATTCAGGCTCTGCAATTGCCCTGACATTGCAGCAGCCGCGTTCTGCTTTGAAACGTTTCTTTAGTTTGTTATTGCTACGAGCTCTCACGCTAACGCGAGAGTTCACTCCTCCCACACTAAGAAAACAGGAGGGAAGGAGTCAGCTGAGCCCGTGTAGCGGAGCACAGAGAGGGAGGGAGAGGAAGTAAACCAACAAGCAGGAAAATTAAACTTGTCCTCATTTTTTTTTACCTACCTCAAAATAACTTATCATGCAATTAATTGATTTATTGACTATCGCGACAGGCCTAATTGTTATCACTGATTTCATACAGCCTTCAGGATTTTTCAGCCTTTGCTGTGCCCCCTCTGGTGGGGAAACATTATTTGGGGGGACACACTCGAAGACAAGCAGCACGAGCTTCTGGTTCAGCGTGTCACTTAAGATGGTGGTTAAATTAGCGAGATGGATTTATCAAACAGGGAAATGAAACTAACGTCTAAGTCTTCTTTACATCACCAAGAAAAATAAAATGTTTTTCTTCCTCTGACTCCGGTGAGTAAACAAACACTGTCCTTATGCTTCACAATGTACAACAGGAGGGGGAAATTATTTATCCTAGTTACACAATATTTCAGTTATATATGGGACAATATTGAAACTTATTGTAGTTTTACATTTAAAATATCTGTCCAGATTTACTCTCCTGAATAATATGACTCCCCCCCACCCTCCCATGGATGATTCATATTATACATGCATAAATATGGTAATAAAACCAGATGTAGTCTGTAGAAGTGCTGATCTTCAACAAACTCTCCTTTGAAAACAAGTGTAAAAGTATGTTTCTGAGCTTATCCAGCAAATTCTTCACATTAAAAGTATTTTAATTATAATAATAACCTGGAAAGCTGTGACTATTATCTAAGACCTGCAGAGGTTCCTGACCTTTAGGGTGTCGATGTAGGCCTCGTTTATATCACTCAGGCCCAGCCTGAGGGGGATGAGCAGGACCAGGGGTTTCCAGAGAGCCGTCTCCTCCTCAGCCAGGGCGCACGCTCCCTCCAGGCAGCCGTTCAGCTCCCCGGCTCCCTCTGCTCCTCCACACGGCTCTGAGAAGTCTAGCCACGGCATGCAAAGACGCTCTGTGGAAAAAAAACAACAAGAAAAACAGAATTACTCAAATCCGTCAGTTCAGTCTGAGGTCAAGGTAAAAAAACAAAACAAAAAAACAGTAGTTAAAAATGAACATAGTAGAGCTGAAGGGAAAAAAACTACATATATAAAAATAGTTTTATAAATATTGTGACTCAAGAATATGATTTCCATTTGAACTGGTTTTTCTCATTTTTACCTGCAGGAAAATCCGTTTAAAAATGTGTAAACCATCAAAAAAAGGCCAGCATTTCTACTAAATGATGCTCGTGTCAGAGGCAGAGGGACATTTAAAGCACATCTGCTGTTAGAAAACAGAATAAAAACTAGTCAAAGAGTGAGTTACAACACGTATGCACGCACTGATCTCCTCGATGATCACAGTGTTGTCCATGGCCACGTGTACAACTAATCTGCTCCACGTATCAAACACTGCCAGCTTCCTGAAAACCACACAGAAAAGCATACTTTTACACTGTTTGTAAAAACTTAGATGAGAAACTTCCAACAAATGTCAAAGTAAGACATTCATACCAGACTGTAACTTTGTATTTTAAGTTTAATTAAACTTTTATGTTATTATAAATGAACTTTTTTTTAACAAATGCAGTTTCAATAACAAAATAAAATAAAGCCAAATAAATACAGTTAAGTCAAGCTGTCAACAAACAGCAACACGAGGCAGTCAGAAAGGCAACAGAACAAACAAAAACAATAACTGACAGATAAAGAAGTAAATATTATACAATATAAATAATTTATTCCAGCTCTCTTGTGCATCCTTTATGTCAGTGGTTCCCAAAGTTGGGGTCGGGACCCAAAGTGGGGTCCTGAAAAGATTTTCTAAATTAATTACATTTTTGCCTTAGTTGCCTAAAATGTATAAATGTAGAATAATAAATATGGTTACTATGCCCATGTTTAGTTGACCTGATACAAATGTTTATCATCCAAAAGTAGTTGTGGGCACAGGTCTCTGCTACTGTTATTTTGTGGGTCAAAAATCAATTTAAAAGTGCAATAAAATAATTGGTGATGTAATATTTTCCTATAATTATTACAAAAACACAAAATAAGTATAAATAAGTATTTATTTTTGTGTAGCCTTTGTTTTTAGGGTTATTAACAAAGTTTGTGTACTCAGACCAATAATATTTGGGGTCACAAGTTTTTGCCATGAATATTGTGTGGGTCAGAAGATAAAGTTTGGGAACCACTGCTTTATGTGACTATAAAATGTATTGTTATAACTGTGTTGTACTGTTATGTAAATTTGTCATCTTTGGTGTTCTAATTATTTCACATGTTGATTTAGAATGCACACGATTTTAAAATTATTCACCAAGGACCACCACATAGGCAGGGACCATGATAGCCTTTTGCTGAAGCACATGTGCTACTTGTAGCTCAAGGATGTGTGTAAAGCCTCTGTGTTTTCTATTTTCATGAAATTCAATAAATCAAAACAAATCACCCCTCTTGTGTTGTCATTTCAGACCTACATGCATCCGTCTTCAGTTTTTGGGTTGACAGTTTACATTCAATCACCCAACCCAACCCAAACCAAATATTTTGTTTGGAATGTTGTATTTTTGCATGGGATTTCTAAAATAGTTGTTTAAACTGAGCGGTTTACTTTGATATCAACCTCACTAAGTTAAGAATGGATTATTACACAGAGAAATCTTTCAAATGTCACTATTTAACTCAGTTATTACAACAATAATGAAGGAGCAGGGAAACATGTCCCAGTTTTCCATTTCTGGCTCAGGGACTGACCAAAAAACAAAAATAAAATAAAACTTAAAAGAAATGCATCCATATATTTGTAGTTTTTGTTCAGTATTTGAGTAGACATTTGTGTTCTTGGGCTCTTACTTTAGAACTTGGGCGACTGTGTTTGGTCCATACCACTGTCCGATTGGCTTTCCCTCTCCGACTCCCATTTGGGCTGCAGCGTACAGGAAGAAAACTTTAGCTTTAAATAAATAAACTTCTGAAGCCTGGATCACATGGCAAGACAATTATGGCGATTTTTGACCCAATTTTCCCCTTCTGACAATCTTAAAAAGGTCCAGATTATTGTGACGGCTCTAAAGATAATCTTATAAGATACTCCTGCTGTGTGTGGTGTGTTAGAGTGAACTTGACTAGTTGTAATATTAGACATTACTTGATAAACATTTATTTAAACTGTAAAACAAAGACTAAAAATACGGTAGGCTGTTTAGTTTTTACACATTTAAAAATATATAGTCACACGAATGGTTACATGGAATTTACATGGCAACGCATACTGTGTGTGTTCTAGTGCGAGGCTGCGAGCTCTAACCAGCCTGAAGGTTAATCTTGGACAATATCTGGTGATCTGGGATGCACCGAGCAATCAGCCTGAAACTTATGTTTCACCTTGATTGGATAAAACTGGAGATCAGTCAAACTTTTTTTTCTGTTGTCTATTTTTGGGCCATTTATATTCATAATATTAAGTTAAAAACATCTTTACAAATAAAGTTAAATACTAGACTGGTAAAAACCAGCCCCTTGTTCTTCACTTTGATTTGTACAGAGGGTTTGGACTCTCGGCTATTGAGAAATGATTGTTTACTGGAGACGTGGACTCGGTTGACGTTTAAAACAAATTAGATCTGATTTTACCCAATAGCTAACATTTGGCCAAGATGTATGTAGTGCGCCAACAGTAGGAAGGCCATGACTAGGTTAGTTATTATTGGCATAAAATAAAATATTTTACTGTAATTTGTTGTTGGCTCCAAGAAGAAGAAAATCTTAAAAAAATGGAAAAAAAGAAAAAGAAACCAAAACAACCCAAATAGCTCTGCTTGAGTGTCTCTGGATACTGCCAGTTCCAAGCTTGGATAAAGGAGGGTTTAATGTAGAGCAATTCCACCACACATAACAGTCGTTTGTTTGTTCAACTGTCAAGAACCATGAATAGAGGATCACATAAACCCTGATGTAGTGGTTTAGCAAATTTCCATCTTCAGTGCATAAATATAAATTTAAATCCTAAATAGATTTGTTTTACTTAAAACTGTTTAGGAAAAATAAATGTGATGATTTGTGGTTCTAGTCTAATCATTAAATTCATAAATAATTTTCTTAAGTTCAGTTGTAGTTCTAAACATTATTTAGAGCTTGGTTTTTCACTCACTTATGCCTCTTTGTCATTAATATTTTTCCTGTACAGCCTGGATCATAATTTCATTGAAATTAACCAAATATGCAAATTAGACAATGTCATCTAATAATTTTTAGAACAACAAATAGCTACTTGTTACTTTGTAACAGTTCATGTTGTCAGTGTAGAAGGTTTCTTTGAGGATGTGTTTATTTTAAGACAGCAGATAATCTCAAATGTGTATGACTTTGTTTGGGTTAATTCATTGAAAGAAAATCTGTATCAGGTCAGAGCTATTCAAAAACTGGAAATCTGTATCGGCCAAAAATCCAGAATTGGTGCATCTCTACTGAAAACCATTACTTTTAAATGAAGGTGGACAGTGTTGACAAAACAGCTGTCATGCAGCACCAGAAAGTCTGGTGGATATTAGGGGTGTAATAATACGTCGATCTATATCGATATATCAATTTGAATGGTTCATGATTCAGTTATATCGAGGCTAAATGAAAATATCAATCCATATCATCATATGCTTGATGGGAATCGATGTCATATGCCCATCTAACACATGCATTGTGTTAGATGGGCATATGATATCGCATTATACTGTATCAATGGCAAACGTGAATTGAATCGAAATCATATCGTGACAGACTTTGTGATAGAGAAATATCAAATCATCATCCAAACATACCGATGTAATATCGTATTGCTGGGTTGCAGTCACATGACCCTGATGACGCGTGAATGTCAGACGCGGGGCAGGAAGTGATTTGCTCTGATTCAAAACACAGCGGAATGGATCACAGCGAGTACGCTAATGCCCTAAATGGGCTGGCGCAGACAAGATATTGCAAAAAAATATGCGTACATTAAGGATATGACTCATATTATTTGAATAAAAAAAGACTTGTTATATAATCAAAAGGATTTACTCGGTGTTGAGGTGATCAACATAAACTACTATCTGGTGCTGCAGACCTCATGTTACAGGCTACGACAAGCCAGATTAAAGCTTTCAAAAGCCTCAAAGCTACAAGTGTTTAGTTTCAAGTTGGGTCAAAAATTTAGGATCCAAAGAAACTTTAAATGGCTGTTGACTTGTTTCTGCCTGGGTGATTTGTGCTATTTTAAGTAGTTAGCCTAACAATGCTATCGCTAACAACAAGTTAACTCCTGTTATTTCTATGTGCTTGGATCTATTTGCAAATAATTTATTTAGCTTCTGTAAACCCAAATTCAAGTAACTATCCAGGAAAATATCTGACAATATGATTTCAACAATACAATCCTGACCTGTTAGAAAGTGGTCGCTGCAAAATGTTGTTCATTTCCGTGCCTCCTGTTTTTGCCTGTAGATAGCTGATCCACCTTTGTCCTATTTTTTCTGCAAGTATTTAAAATGTAACTCCCTTGTGACACACTACTTTCAGAACATGAAAAAAACTTTGACATTTCTCCTGATGAGAGCGGCTTCAACAGCTGTACACAGCACAGAATTTAGGCATTTTGACACTGAATCAACAGAAGGAAACATGGCTTCATTTACTTCTTGCCCCCATCTGCATTTCATGACATCGATACTACATCATCTGCAACCCAGCAATTGTGATAAGCTGGTGATTTACAGGCCCAGTGCACATCAGAGACATCTTTTTGTTTTGTTTTTCTCTGTTAAAAATAGCCCACAAACTATCACCATTCCTTCTTCCTTGTTGGCCATTTACTCTGAACTCAAGTTTGATCTCCAGAGGTCTTGCAGGATTTCCCATCTGACATCAAAATGTTTGTGAGTGAAAACTGTTGGTGTGTGGCTGTGCACAACACACTGTAAAACCAAACCTGTTGTATCCATGATTTTTATCATGTGTGGTTTCTGTCTTTGAAAATCAACCCACATTTTTTTAAATCTTGTCATGTTAACCAGGCATAAACCATACAACTGGAAGCGTCTGATGCTGCTCACCAATTTGGTGGATGGAATAGTAGCTGTCTTTTTTGTCAATGAAGGCGTTGAGAATACTGATGTACTCTTCTCTTTGTTTCTGGCCTTTGGCCCACCTCCAGTCTGAAAACAAAAAGCCAGTTATCACATCTGACTAAAACAAGTTCTGCTTGGTACAGAACAATCATTTGGAGATTATCTATACACACACAACTCACAGGAATAGAATCTAGTTTCTGTTTTATACAAATCATTGAAGTATCTTACCTCTACTCAAGTGCCTACACACCAAGGCCTCTCCTAGGATCATCTGGCCACACCGTAACATACATCCCCATCCTGTGTCTGATGTTGGTCCAGTGCCCCCTGTAAAACATCAGGGAACCATTTAAGATTCTCCTTCAGTGGCTAAAAGCAAAAAAACCTTCCTACTTCAACCTGTAAACACAGATGTTTGGTCAACTCACCAATCGGCGGAAAGTTTTTTCTGTAAGTGAACCACAGCCGCGACGTGACGTCTGATAAAATCTCCTCTTTCTCTGCATTAAGAGCAGAAATCAACACTTAGAATATCGACTTCAATAGATAAAATGTCCTGGTGGTCTTTACTAAACAAGTTTTAATCAACTACAACATAAATCTAGAGCTTCAACCTGTGAGTGCATTGTACTCTTTCCCCAAGATCCACACAGGCTCTGAGGTCTCAGGAAAATCTTCAAACTCTCCAAAACGAAGTGTGTCGTACGTCAATGTAGCTAAAAAAAACAAGAGCATGAGATGTTAAAAGGGAAAAGGCCTGCTGATTATTATTACTATCATTATTCTTATTATTCTTAGTAATGGATCAATTACTGAGGATGAGAAGCTATCTGTCAGAGAGATAAGACGGAGCATCCATTAGCTGCTTGAAAAGAAAAACATCACTTCCAGCATGACAGTATTTATTTATAGCAATCTTTAAAAACAAATGTTTATCAGGTTTCTTTCCAATGAAATGGCAGCCCAAGTGCCTAAATATTGTATCCAACTATTAAAAAAACTTTTCAAAAGCCTAACCGAAGATTTACTGTTCTTTAATTTGTCAAAAGGCAAAAAGGAGATAATATTTCTGCCCATTTCTGAGTGTGTGTGCCTGCAGTGTTAACAAAAATACCCAATGAACCACTGGCTGTACATCTATAACTGATTAGCTTTCGGAGTCAACCCAGTTTAAGAAGGCCACCACAGCTAATCGACATTAATCAACACAAAGAAATGGCAATAAGATACAGAGATGTTGATCTAAATTTGGTGTAGTTGTAGCTGAGTCATTCTCAACACAAACTCTGAGCACTAACAGGTTTCATAATATCCCATTTGATTTCACACACACACCACCATTTGCAAAGTTTGACCAAAACAGGTATATCCTCATGCATCTCAATAATCCAAGTAGGAAAAAGAGAGAGAGAGAGAAGTTCCTCTGGATGAGTTATTTTTTGTTGAAAACATTTCATCTCTTCTCTAAGAGACTTCTTCAGCCTGAGGAGTTGCAGGTAAACTCAGCCTTTATAAGCAGTTCCTTCACATGTGAATCAACCAGTTTATCTGTGACATGCAAAAGAGGACTCTCAGTCTAACGATTGATCCTTAGGTGTCTGATTATCCCTACTGTCCACAGACGGCTGAGTCACACACACAACAACAGTACTGTAAGAGGGGGACAAGTGGACACGGAGGCCTCCCCCTGATTAAAAACAGATGTTTTTTCTTCACAAAAATGACTTCCTTTACTTCTCCCTCAAACCAAATTTCCTTTATGTCAAAGATGAGAACATCTTCATCCCTGAAAGAGTGACTGCCGGCCTGTAGATGAGTGTAAACTGCAGAGTCCTGACCTGATGATGTTGCTCTTCTGTGCAGAGCCATTCTTTTGAACACTGGTCACTTTGTTTTCCTGATGTGTAACTGGTCAAATGCCTCCTGGAACTTAACATCATACACAACATTACTCTGTGTCAGGGCACTGGCTCATTGGGGTGAACCAAACCTCTTTTGCATGTGAACAAGCAGTTTAGATTGTCACCAGTAAACAGGTTCCCTCTATGTAAAAGTACTGCTTATAAGGCTGAGTTTACCTGTAACTCCTAAGACTCAAGAAGTCTCTTGAAGAAGAAAATAAATGTTTCAACAAAGAAGAACCTGTCCAGAGGACCTGACTGTGCCTTGTTAAATAAAACAGTTATAAATCTGGCATGGAAGGTGGCAGACAATATGCATTACCAGGGTGTTCACAGGGTTGTACAAGGTAGTAAATGAAATGAAGGCCACTATACTTTTTTCCCCAGTCTATCTCCTAAAAATCCCATCAAATAATTGTGTATAGATTAGTGTTTTTATTGAAGCACAGAAAGTAATAATCCAGTGTAGTAATAACACTACACTTACTACAAAAGTTAAGTAAGACAATTACACAAATGTATTACTTTATTACTAGCTACCAACTAAAATTCAAAAGATTGCCACACCAATTGCAGCTTGGAGTCATGTTGGTATTAAAACTAGTGAGACTTTTTTTTAATGGTGTTAAATTTAACTTGCGAATTTCTATATATGTGTCCTGATTACTTAAAAGCACAATGTTAGGACATTATTTAATTGCTGTACTACAATAAGTTTGGAAACTTGACTCATGAACTCCATGATGAGACAAGAGCATCCATACACTGTCGTAAATGCATTATTAAAGCTTTATAAACCATTTATTGTTTATCACTTACTATGAAAAGTTTAATGTGTGTCAACTTTCAGTCTGGCTTGAAGGTCAAAACAATCACATCAGATGTGCGGTATAAAAAGTCCAGTTTATGTAATACATCCTTAATCTTGGACCAACTTTAGTTCGTGTTTGTGCAGATACACACTAACTGGAAACCAAGTACACCATGTTACACTTCAACAAGAACACACAAACCCTAAATACACTAATTGTCTGACGTAATTTTTTTTAATCGTCTGTCGGTGTAACATTATCTGAAGCTGTGATTTATAGCTTCACAGTCAGCTGACTGCTGTGGTATTCGCACTACGTGGAGAAAATTAAACAGGAAGCCAAAGCGCTAACTCTTTATCTGGGAGCTAACAACAATGCGATCAAACACGGTGGTGGTCGTGAATCGGATGGGATGCTCGTCTTCAGCCGGAACGCGACGATAATGAAAGCAGTCAAAGTTGAGCCAACTTCTTGAGCAACCTCGCCATGAACACGACCTGTCCACTGCTGACACTGAGACACAGTAACTGGAGGAACACGGTGACACGGCAGGCTGTCAATGCGGAGCTTTCGGCACATTTAGCGACGTTAGTTAGCTTTACTCATCACTTTAGCTAGCTAACGTCACCGAGGCTACAAAGCAATTTAGGTCTGTTTTCTCCCAGCAGCGAGCTTTGCCTGTACTGTCAAGACAACGTGGGGCGAATCCTCATTATTTCTTAGATGACAATATTAAACATTTTAATTGTTAAACAGCAGTGTCGTAATTGAGAAATAAACATTAATTTACTACAAAATATTGCTTACCTGCATCCATCCCGACGATCTTCACCCTATCTTGTTTGTTGTTCTCGCCAATGGAATGAGCTGGACCAATGGGAAGAAAGTGTCGGCAAAGGGGCGGGACGTTTTGACCGGCACCCAATAATATCTGACGTAGAGACGTTATTTTGCCCAGAGCCCCATTCTGATTGGCTAATGTCTGAGAATAATAGATTCATGGTGCGTTTCGGAAAGTTGGATAAAGTTTATATTCAAAAAGGATGTAGTAGATAAAAAATAAAGTTTATATTGTTTTTGAAAAATACCAGAGTTAAAATTATTTTAAAATTAAATTATACATTACTATTTAGTTCAATTCAACTGCATGATGAACCAAAAAGGAAATGCAAAAGCTCTCACTGAGCATTTTTGTATTAGTGAACTGTCAATTTAAAATATTAATTAAAAAAGTAATAACTTTATGTTATTTTTTGTTTTTCTTTGTTTGTTTGATATATTTCTGGAAACAGCTTTAGCACCACTATGCGGAATTGAACAAAGAAAACAAAAACAAATTACACTGTTATGATGAACTTCTTAGTGGAAACATTGTACATTTTGAGGGAACTTACTAAAGATAAGAAGTGTACAAAATGATACAGCTATGCTTTATTGATTGGGTCAAAAATTATTTTTGTTAGCACGTCTAGTGGAAAACTAACATGTCCAATATTACATGTGGTAAACAAAGCAGTGGAAAATGTATTATTTATTGACAATTTTGTACCATCTTCTTGACATGTTTATTTGTGTTTGTCTGCAAAATTTCTCATGAACTGGATGGATTTTAATGATACTTCCAGAAAGTAACTATTAGCTCTACAAGTGATTGTTCCCTGAAGTCAATCTAATTTAAAATAGCTGCACAGATAATGGACCTCAGCAAAACTGTTTGTATTTGATTTGACAGATACTGAGCTAAACTTTGATGTGTGGCTGAAAGTCATCCCCAATACACACTGAACTGTAACAAACTGCCAGATCTTTGTTTAAACAGCTACAAATAACATGTTCTGTCAAGGAGTGAAGCTTTGTTTTAATGTCAATGTTGCTGTGGTTTAATATTTTCAAGTACTAAATCATCAACCAAAGTCAAGGCCCGGTGCCAAATGTGGCCTTCAAGTGCTTCAAATATGTGTTAATGTTAAAATAAGCTGTTATAAATCCAACATTGACTGCAAACTATATCTTCATGATACATGTCGATTATAAAATGACATCAGGCAATGTGTGTGTTCTCATCTGTTAGCAAAATATCTTATCAAACGGAACTAATTTTAACAAACTCTTCAAAAGGTTATCAATGATAACTCACAATAAGATTCACTTTTAGACTCAACCACATTTAAAATGGCTGCCACAGCTATTCAACATAACTACTATAACTGATACTAAAATGGCTATAACTCAGCAGATTTTAGAGACATTGAGCTAAAATCTGGATTAGTGGCAGCTGAGAGTCATCATCAACACATACTACAATTTAACACTAATTGTTAAATATTAAATGCTGAGTTTGTCCCTGATTTATGTCGTGTTTTCACAGTGTAAAATAATATATGTTTGATGTATTGAGAAGATAGTCAATATCAACAGAAACAAGTTTCATCCTGTAAGCAGATTTGACTACAGAACAGGTAAAGAATAAATATACTTTGTCAAAGTCATCATTTTTCAACTCGCTAAACAGTCTAAGTTACTGACTGACTTCAGGTCTGGTTTAGGTCATTGCAACTTATAAATTATATATTTTCCTCATGATTCTTACATGATAGTTGAATGAAATTGCTCAAATTAACAATTATATTAATTTGTAGTAAAAATATTACAAATAAATTGTGACACAGATCCAGTTGGGTTGTCTGTTAATCTGACAGTTGCTTTGTGGGCTGTACGGTCGCCATCTTTCCTCCTCCATGTAGTCACAGTCCGGTGGTCTGCAACCTTTACAATCAAAAGACTCTGCTCCTTGACTCGCAAATAAAATGTCTTCGGAGCTGCAAAAAGTGCTACAACTGTGATTATCAATGGTGGCCCGTGGACCACTGAGTTTGTTGAAGAGAGGCCTTTCTATCCGGGTGACATTATAAATTGAAAAATATATAGTGAATTTGAATGTTTATTATTATTTTTACACTTCAGGACAAAAGAAAAAACATATTAATGTAAACGAGAAATACTGTGTATCAAATTTAATTAAAACTGCACTCTGCAGGCATATTTTTTCTAGTTCTTATCTAGTCAGTGATCCTGATGGATATGAGAGAAAAGTCATACTTTAAGGCTAGAATTTGGACCATTAAAGCGGATAACAAGCATGAGCTAATCAACATGTTTTGCTTTTTGTATTAGTATTGATCACATATTTATAAACAAATTGACAGTAAAACTTCTAAAGTTAGCCTTTTCTGTTGTCAGTATAAAATCCCAAAAATGCGATTGCATGTTATTTTTAGTCAAAGCTCCAAAGAGCTGCTGGTTGCAGACCCCTGTCACAGATGCTGACAGTGAATGGGATAGGTGGGGGTCAGTCTTGTTATTAAACTCCACAGTATGGGTTGAGCAGATCATTATTTCTGGGATAAGTCTTCAAAGCAGAATAACTCATGTAGACATAAATAAAAGGAAATATTTTCAAACTGTTGAATTGTTTATTAGTGATATTTTTTTTCCAAATGACTGGTAAACATTTACTTGTATTTTGTAGATGGCTTAGTGCTACGAGCAATAAAGTGATATTATTCATAGAATAAATTGTGCACAAACAGAAACTGCATCAAAGTGCTACAAAAAAAAACGACAATTTAGATTTCACCATTAAGATGTAACAACATTCACCCAGTGAGAATAAGGAGGAAGAATCTGATGCTTTAGGAAACTTAACACAAAGCTTTTAATATGGAGGAATAGTCATGCTTTTATTTTTTTGAAAAAAATCTCTCTCTCTCTCTCTCTCTCTCTCTCTCTCTCTCTCTCTCTCTCTCTCTCTCTCTCTCTCTCNCTCTCTCTCTCTCTCTCTCTCTCTCTCTCTCTCTCTCTCTCTCAAGAAGGAAAAGATCAATCTAGTTAAAATAACTCAGTGTAACTAGACGTAAGTTGATGGAATTATATTGGCATTTCATTTCAACAATTTGGTTGCAGGAAAAAAAAGAGTTTTTAAAGTTTTAAATGACCTTTACTTTCCTTTGGGAACAAAACAACAGCAACACCTGTTGTAAGATTTATATAAAGGGGGAAAAATTCTCAGTGAAAGACTATTTTCATTCAATTCTCCTTTCAGCAAAAAATAAACACATAAAAGTTGACACCTTTCCCTATAATTACACCCCCACCCCCACCCCACAGACAGACACACAAGCGGTGCAATCTCTTTGATAGAAAACAGTTAAAATAAAACCTCAATAGTGGAAAAAGATATTTTTGTTCATCAAAGCATCACAAACACTTATAGGATCATCAGGATGTTCATTATATTACAAGTTGAAACTTTGTGTAAAATGTAAATAAAAACAGAATGCAGTGATTAGAAACTCTCCTAAACCCATACTTCATTCACATCAGAACACAGTAAACGTATCAAATGCTGAAACAGAAAACAAACTGGGACAGGGTCATGTTTACCACTGAGAAGCATCTCTTCTTTTAACATCAGTCGGTAAACATCCAGGAACGGAGACGACCAGTTTTTGGAGGGAATGTTTTTCTCCAATATGTAGGATTTGAACCGTTCAACGGTTTTGGACCAGTTCACAACCTGGACTTTTCTACTAAGAAACTGCTCCTGGATGTAGTTCCACATGTTCGTGATGAAAAAAATACACGCCTTCATCTGGATGGGAGCACGTGTCCTAAAACCTGAACACATTTTTCCGCGTCGATGGTGCCTTTCAATCCCTATACCAACAGAGAGGCAGGTTTTCAAACTGTCTGCTATGTTTGGTAAGTATGATGGTATTTTGATACACCTCTTTTTAAAATATGGTGATGGTATTTAAAAATTATGATGGTACCTCTGGAACCTCGTCACATGACCCATTAAAATTTGTCTAGCCAGAAAGATCCGCCTTCTGAGACTGTTTCAATTTGTGTGAAAAGTAGAGACTTAAACCTCACATCAGTTTTTAAATTGTGTTGATAGGCCAAATAAAGCCAGAGTTGTGATAGTTTCATCCACTTTTTCTTTTCTGAACATAACTGTCCTGTTTGATGCAGCTGCAGAAAACGTAATCTCATGGACAAAACGGCCGGAAAACAGCTCAATCTGCTGTCAGTCTCACACTTCTCTCGAGCCAAAATAATAGAAATTTCTCATCCTCCTTTCTGACCAAGGCTTAAAGTTATTTGACAAGTGCCATAAAATCATATTATTAAAGAGGCCAGCATGAGAAAGGTCAATCCCACCCAACCCTTACTCCGTGCCGCGGTTTATTTAAATACCGGCTGTGTTTTCGGATGGTGTCCACATACGGATTCGTCTTTGCTTTGATAGAGCTGTAACCAGGATTTGTGGAGGATTTGTGAAAGGGTTCCCAATCTTCATGATGGAATCAGATAAATGCACCCAGTGCCACCTGAACAGATTCATGAAAACCTTTGAATCTCTCGTTATCTACGGTTCATAATGTCTTCAAAGTCTTCCCAGTTTTCCAATGTGAAATATTAATTTGAAATAGTTGCAGACTGGTGTTCCTCTGTGAGAAGATTCAGCCTCTAAAATGATCTGTTGTTAATTAGTCTAGTTTTAAAATGCTCCTCCAGGTGTTCATTTGTACGCTCATGTTTGCAGCCTTTTTTTTTTTTTTGTCTTTGTTACAACTTTTTACTTTTTTTCATGTGTTGCAACAATCAAATCATACATTGTAATAATTTCATTGTTTAAACATTTGATATGTTTGACTGTGATTCAGTTATGAGTTTGCATGATTTACTGCATTCTGTTTTAAATGGACATTGTGCAGAAATAAGCATGTAAAACAGTTCTGATTACATGCCACCAGGGGGCGCTGCAAGTCACCAGAACAGGCACCAATCCTGGCAGTTGGGAAGTTAAAAGGAAAAATAAAAGAAACGAGTCTTTTCATCTCAACAGTATGGCCTCATATAAGCACAAACAATAAATAGTTTGAAGGCTGTGCAGCGAGTTTAATGTTAGTGAAATGGGTCGGTGTTGGAGGCTCAGTGCAGACGAGTGTAAACAGAGTTCCCACGCAGCAGTGGAGGCTTTCGCAGCGGTGGCGCAGCGTGTGCGGCACCTGGGACCGTCCTCTCGGGTTCCAGCGCCCGACTCGAGTCTTTCACTTCTCCCTGAGGAGGTACAAGACCACGGCCTTCAGGTAGAGTCCGAACGTACAGACGGTGGACACCAGCCAGTGGGAGTGGAAGCTGGGATCAGTGTTCACCACGCACTTCGTCAAATCCGCCTGTGAAGGAAAAAAATACAAATAAATAAATAAACAAAAAATAAAACCACAATGAGCTCAAATTCTGAAAGGTAACAAAAAAACAGCGACACTGAAAGGTGCAGACAGAGGACAAAGACAGGAGACACGTGAAACCTGGTTCAGGGAGCACAGTCATGCTCACGTGGAGGATTTTCTGATGAGTCATCAGTTTAATGTGAGCCTCTCAACTCCTTACGTACAGTTTATTTACACACTTCAATGTTTTATTCCTGCCATAAATCAACCAGGGTCAATATAAATCAACCTTCACAACAAAAAAAAACTTTAATGACAAAGTGAAATCAAAATCCTACAGAAGAATACAGATAAAAACAGATTTATATTGACCATTATTGATTTACAACTGCAGTAAAAGCATAAAACATAATTTTGTAGGTTTTACTGATTCTGACCATCAGGTTTGGTGAACTGAAAGTAGTGTTTATAACTGAAACTCGTTTATTCCTTTGTGTAATCCTCTGAGATATAAATAAACTGAACTAAATGAACATTTTTACTCTGTCCTGAGGGGAATGGATTCTTTTAAAAGAACAAAACACAAACAAACAGAACTAAAGTATCCACTGGATGGATTTATGTATATAAGAATGGTTTTAAATCACATATTTAGGTTTTTATAGTTAATAGCCATTTGCCCAAATTGAAGGAATCTTTCTATTTTACACTGCTATCATTTCACAATACATGATTATTTACATACTGTGGAATTCTATGGATTTTGCAAAGGGGATGTAAAATGTCTTTAAAAAATTGGGTTTGAAAACGGCATCAAACCACCCTGCTATCAGTTGTGAGCTAATTATGGCTCGTCAGAATGGACTCACTTCATACGCTTAAACAAACTCCAATCTTTAAATATAAACATTTGGATATATAGCTGTGAAATGTTAATCATTGCTATTGTTGCCAATTTCATATAAAACAAAATTTCCTGCCATACACGACCTCAGCATACACGTCATCTTGTACGGATTGTCTGTAAGTTATAAGGATTTTATGTCATTTTGCAGGTCTACGGACGTATAGAGCAATCTCATGGATTTTTTCAAAACTTCATTTTCAAACTAATCTAACATGTCAGAGCCTGTAGGATGATTTAAAAAACAATAAATAACATTAAAGAGCCATCTTCCAACCTGTTCTGCCGCTAGAAATAAGTTTTGAACGTTTTCCTCTCTCCTCTCCTCCTGCTTCACTGCGGGCGCTGCAATGTGCGCAGAAGCCCAGTGATCTCCTGTGTGTTAATAACCAGAATGACTTTTTAATTAAATTCAAATTCAAAAATACTTTAATCCCAGAGGGAAATTAGGTGAATTTAGGTTAAGATTGTTTTAATCTAAGAGCAATCCACTTTAATTTTTGCTACGTTTGGACCAGCTTTTGGCTCATCTCCAAACTTAGCATGTTCAAAAAGCTGCAACAGGTAAGATGTTCATTGTTTATGTACCCAACTTCAAACTAGCCAAAATATTCCTTAAAATCTGAGGGTGGGCAATCTTTTAGAGCAGGAGGGCTATCAACTATATGGTAGTATAAAATTTAACTTAAGAATAAGAAATGCAATATTTTTATGATTTTAAATCTATGTTTCAATTGCCGATGTGCCACGGTCATTAATGACGTATTTCCGGTAAAATTCTTGCCACGCTCCTCCCTTCCACTCCCTGCTTTACTGCCTATGTTTTTAGCGTTAGCTCCTAGTACTAGTCCGTGAAAAAGTCATAAAAGTTAAAACATCTGTGATCTACTGGTATAAAACGTGAGTTCTGTTGTGTGCCGTTGTGTCCACTAAGCAGCAGGTATGATCGAGTAGTTAGTTTTTATCCATTTTCCTCTTGATGAGGAGGTGACAGCAGTGGATCATAGCATTACAGAGAAAACTTATCTTTAAAAGCTCACGCTTGTGTTTTTAATCGGCATTTCTAACCTGAGGATATTCAAGAGCCAGCATCAGAAACGAGAAGACGGAGGTTACAAAAGGGAAATGTACATTTATCCCATTTTACTGCCAAGACGAGAGAGGAAAGACCTCCTTCACACGACAGCTAGCAGGAAGCTAACACAGCAGCCGGTACAGGTAGGTGTGTGTGCGCGTTTGTGTTATATGAAATGTTTTTATGTGACTTTGTCATGAGTTTTATGCAAAAGTAAAACCTTGTTGGAGTGTATATTTACAGCGTAGACTAAAGCCGAGTGACGATGCTTTGGAGTGATTTTTTTTTTCCACTTGGCTGGACCTGTACGTCTCTTGTGTTAATGTTGGTACATGTAATATGCTAATTCTGTACTGTGGAGATCATTAAGAGTCATTGTCAGGTGAAAAAATCTTTCGCTAACACTGTGTTGACCGTGAACCGGAAGTGTTGGGAGTGGCATCAAGTGCTGGGCCGGATGTCCGTGGCATATAGGCTATTAAATGAAGTCATTGGCAGGCAGACTGAGTTGTTTATGCCTGCCATAGATCATCTATAGAACAGGATTGCCACTCTGACTGGAATATGTCCTTCAATTTAAAAAATGAAAAATGAATGAACTCATCTTTGGGCCGGACTGAAGTTGCCTGCAGGCCAGAAGTGGCCTGTGGGCCTACAGTTGAGCAGCCCTGTTTTAGAGCGTTTGTTTTTCCTTTAATAATCCCACAGCTGTATATAAACTAGTTTTTAAAAAGTTTGTATTTAGAACCTACAGAATTCTGTCCAGTGAGTTCATTTATTGCTGACTTTAAACTCTTTATTTTCAGTTTCTCTCCTGAGTTTTCATCAAAGCTACATTTCTCTCTCTCCACACCAAGTGTCTGGTTCAGAGCAGAGGGACAGAAAAGTCCCTCATTAGTACCTCTGAGGTCAGTTATACAACGCTGGGAAACTCATTTTGGTCACACTCCATTTCCCAAACACAGCAGCCAAACCTGTTCACTGTCCAAACAACCAGACACACGTCCACTCTCACATGTCCTGTCTGCTACCTTTCTGCAACACTTCATCAGAGCTCCACACACACACACACACACACACACACACACACACACACAC